TTAATTAGAGTAGGGTTGTCCAATTGGTAACCCGCGGTGCCATGTATTACGGCCCGCATAAGATTATTAGTATGGAGCGGATTTCTATTATTTTGCATGTTTTTGTCCGTTGCTTCAGTGCATAGCTAAATGAAATTTCTTGACATTTGGTTAGAATATGACGGTATATAGATTAATATGTTAGTGCATATATGGCCGATTTTTCTTGTTGGGGCATATTCGTGTAATTATTGGTGCTTATTTTTCATATAATTTCGTTAAAATACCCCTGATTCTGAGCGAGGACATTCTCAATATGTACCCCTATGACGCCTCATACCTGCACCAATTATTTGTTTTTCATGTACTTAAACATTATTAACACCTTCAAGTTCATAAAACGGAGTTACTCGTGTGACTTTGCCAGTCAACTCCTTATGCACAAATTGACGGCAAGTCTTACGCAGTCAAGGGGGCACAAGGAAATTTTATGTTTTTGCAGAACACCTGTGTATATGGGGTTGCATCACAATAAGGGGCAAATCCCACATGTAAATTGTAATGTTTTATTTCCCATTACTTGTTCTTTGAAAATTGTTCATTGGCAAAAACTGATACTTTGTTACGTATCTACAAGTTTTAGTGCTGTGTAATATTTATCATGGGATCTCGTTAGATTGTGTACGTTACGCTGTTTTTGTATCAATTCAATTATCATGCCATCTTTTCAAAATATAAAATGAAAATTCTATTAGCTCTTAAAATAGATTGCGTGTCATCATTTTGTATTAATACGTTTTAAATGCAATTTTCATGTATTAAAGTAACATTCTGCTGTTTTCGCTTTTTTTTTCTTTCTTTTGGATAGGACAATACAAATATCAGTGTTTATTACACTCTACATTTGTTATAGTTGCTTATATCTAGTTATAATTAACTTACAATAATCTTACTAAAAATCTTAAAACACAACTTACATTACTGCTAGGGTGGTAGAGGTATCTTTATATAATATCTCTACTTTTGTTCGAGATCTGAGAATTTATTTAGGAATGTATGTCTTGATGCGGGTTCTGTGTATTGGATTTTGGCAGAGTGTCAGCAGGGTTAGGTTCGGTATATTCGGTATGTTCTGAGAGAAGTGGGTAGATACAGAAATGATGAGGTTGGTTATCGTTTCTAGCTGGAATTGCAGTTGAGCATAGGAGATATACTATGGGGCATTCGTGATGGTGCGGAGGAATTGACTTTTGGATCACTTGGTGTTTGTTTTAGATTTGGCTGCGCTAATCCAAACTGGGCATGTATATAATGGTAGTGGTCGTATGACAGATTTATAGAGCAATAAGGCAGTATTATATGGTAGTTAATCTGATCTATTTATTTTTCGTTTTAGTTGGTGTAGTTTTATTTAGGCTTGTTTAACATTTATGTCGATATGGTGTTTCCAATTGAGTCGGGTGTCTAATAAAAGGCCTTTATATTTTGTGGGTTTATTATGAGGATGTAATTGTATAGGTTCTTGATTCATCTGTAAGGAGAGTGGAGGGACGTCACGTTTGATAGTGGTTTTTGGAATGCCGTATGAATGTTTTCATTTATTCTGATTCATTGGTGATGTGTGGACAATTTTTCTGGGAATATCATTTGTTCCATGGATATGGCCATTGTGTTGTGGAGATGTGTTTTGAATATTTTTAATATTATTTTTTCTAATAATTTAGATAATGTGGGAGGCTGGCTGATTTATCGGTAACTGATGGTTAGGGATGCATTCTTGTTTGGTTTTTGTATTGGAAGAATGATTGCATGATTTTATACATGCAGAATGTAACCACGTCTGAGGCATGAGTTGAAGATATTGAAAAAAAAATTGGCTGTTTGGGGAAGGTTTTTCAATATTAAACTTTGAATTTATCATGTCCAGGGTCGTTCTTGACAGGTAGTGATTTGATGATGTTATTTATTTCTTTAGGTGATGTGTAGTGTATTTTGTGATGAGGATCATCTGTTCGGTTACTGTTTTGTGGATTGTGAGATGACTAGGGTGCGATTTAGTTATTATTCAGGGTGAATGTGGATGCAAAGTAATTAGCTAGCTCTTCGGCTTTCTGAGAAGATGTGCGAATTTTTCCTGTGGGGGATGTCTAGTGGGGAATAGTATTCTCTTTTCTTTATATTTTGTTTGTGAATTGCCAAATGGATGGTGTTGTTAGTTGTGACCATAGTCTGGGTTTTTTTTGATTTGTATTAGACTTACTATTTCTGGGGTAGTTTATATTGTTTATCTTTGCTGGTATTCTTTGGTTTCAATTCGGTCTCTTTAATTGTGGTGTGTGTTATGGTGGTTAGTTTGTTAATTCATTGCTCTATTTCTAATGGGTTGGAGTGAATTAAGGTCTTGTTAAGCTAGTGAACGTTTCGAATTTTTTCTATCAAATTTTAACTTATTTGGTTTTGGTACTCGGGCCTGCGGTGGGGGTATTTGTTGTGTGGTTATTAAGATAGGAATGTGGTCCAAGTCTAATTCGAATAATGTAGTAGTCTCCGGTTAAATTTTCGTGTTAGTAATTCCGATATCGAGACTATCGGGATTTCTTAAGCGATCATGTGGATAATATGTGGGGCCTATTGTGAAATTAGTTTGAGAGTAGTTCGATTTAGTATTTGAGTTAATATTTTCCCATTAGCGTTGGTGGTAGAACAAATCCAGATGGTGTTATTTTTTTGTAATAGTTTACTAATGTTATCAAGGTCTAGTTTATGATTTGGAGGATTGTATGCTGCAATTATAGTTCATATTTTATTTTTCATTTTTAATTTAATGACAACAGTTTCTATATTACCTGTTCAAGGGAGAATTATTGGGTAATATTGTATATTTTTATTGATGGCTATTAGTACTCCGCCTTTGTTTAGGTTTCTGTCGGCTCTTGAATTGAGAATTTTGGGATATAAATTTTTTTCCTTTAAGTGAGTTTCTGTAATGCAAATTATATTTACACTGAGTGAATTTCAGAAGTGTATTAGTTCTGGTTTTTTATCTGTTAAGCAGTTAGCAATCCAATTGGCGAGAGTAAAACCTTTATAGTATTGTATTGCCATTATTTCCGGTCATGTAAGCGGAAAATTAATTTTGAATTGAGTTGATTATGGTGGGTATAATGGTGATTATGGCATTGATTATATAGGAAGTATTTGCATTAATTATTGTATTTATAATGGAATAGTTGTGGTGAGATTCTTGGCGAAGGTTGGTTGAATATGAATTGTTGATAGGATCTGGGCGGGCCTGGGATGTGGTGCTACTAATATGGGTGAAGTGTTTGAGATTTGGTTTATAGGGAAGAAGAGGGAAATGAGTGATATATTGTAGTGAAGTGGGTTGGTTGGAATATCTTGATTTCTATTTTGGAGGTTGTTTTGGATGACCGTATTATTTTTTCAATGTATTCTTTAAGTTAAGGTCAGCTGGAGTCTCGATTATTGACGTCGTGGCTTGCATTTACGAAACTTTGGTACTTGTTTAAGAGGACAAGTTACCGAGTAGTGATTACCCGAACAAAAAGCGCGGCTAACTGAGTGATTGCAATTATTCTTTGTATGGCCATAATGCAGACACGCTGGCATTGTATGGGACCTTGAATTTTTCCCGTTCTTCGGCATTTACTCTATGGTTACAACTTTGCTTAGTGGCTAGAATATTGTCGATTGGATCGTGTCCTAAAAACAGCTGCAACTACTGGTAAAGGTCTGTTTTCTTTGTGAAGTTTGGTGATTTTTATCAACGAAGGAAAGCGTTGTTTTAGGTCTTGATATATTTCTTGGTCAGTGATGGATTGGTTGACGTTCTTCAACACTACAGATATTTTTTTATTTAATGGGACTTTAAAGGAATTAAAACTTCAATGAGTGTTAGATATCTGATTAAGTTTGGAAAGTTCCTGAGTGAGTTTGCACTAATTTTTGTTTTATTGTTTTTTATCTGCATTGAAGATTGAGGTGACTTTACATTTAAGTTCTTTGATAAATGTATTAATATTGGTAATGTATGCAACTATGATTGGTGGTATTTTATTGAGGGTTTCACTTTGCTTACGAGGAAGGTCATTGTTATGTGTGAATCTATTTTCGGTTGCGTTCTTATCAAATTCGCTTAGAGGTACGAACCTGTTTATCATCGGCACATTAATTAATAAAAAGACAAATTTTGTGTTTTGATCACTGTAACCATCGTGATTATCGTGACTATCGTAACTATTGTGATTGCTACTGAACGTTTTGGGTTCACGCTATTTATCATTGTCTGTGACTGACCTTTTTCTGGAGTCTGAGGAGCCTTTTTCTGGTAGTTGAACGGTTGGGGGTTGGCTGAGTTGAATCGGTTCCTTGACTTCGGCGCCGGGAGTGTTATGTTGAATGATGTTCGCTAACGTCATCTCCATTTCGTCTTCGGTGAATTGATTTGGGTTATTTGGGATGAAACTTTCCATTGTAGCTGTAGGTTCTCACTGTTGTTAAGAACAAGCAAAGAAGCACTTACGACTTGACTTATTGGAAGGTCATTGCTACAAGCCATTCACTACACTAATTTGCACTGAGTCGCACTGCACCGGAATTATTTCGATGAATTCTTTATCAGTAGCACTGAGACGCGTGACCCGCCGCCACTCCGTTAATGGTGTGGCGAACTATGCAGTAACGGTTTTATTGCAACAGATCTGACAGGGTCGCAGACCTGAGCTCTGACTACCTCTCGCCACCACTGTCGAACGAAGAGTGTTTTCACAAATAGAACGCATATTTGGCAGAAAGAGGTGCAAATTCAGAGCTTGTTCTTGGTACACACCAGGATAGTACTCTGAGAGAGAGGTTGAGTGAAGTAAATTATTTACATCTTAATATTATTATTTATTGCCTCTATTAAAATAAATTTAAACAAAAACACAGTATTAAAATAAAAACACAGTATTTATACAAAATGGAATTTATTGTCAAAAATGTAAAAATATGTTTATATACATAGAAATCACCATCAAGCAGTACCCGCTACATTATTTTTCCATATATACATACATACAAGAAAAAAGCGCTTTTATGAGAAGTTACTTTTCTAAAATTTTCACAAATAAAAATCCATTAGATAAATGATAAATGCATTAAAAACGGAAATTTTCTCGCGATAGACAACATTTTGGAATCACATTTCCAAGAGATTCTGAAAAATAAACAGTATCCAGAAGTATTGAAAAGCAGTTTTCCACCATCCAATACTATAATAGAGAAAACAAATGAGATTGAATAAAATGCAAATAGGAACCATAGATCTGTTCACAAAGCAACATAGATAGTTCCCCAGGGATTTTGTTATGAGTCCCTACACTCTCAAGAATCATAAATGAATTAAATAAATAGAATGCCTACACTATAGAAAGTCGAAAGCTATGTCTGTAAAAATTCAGTTTGTAATCTGTAATGACCTAATATACCTAAAGCTTTTGTGCCAAACAAACCTGAAATTTTGTGATTATCCTCTGAAGGGTATCAAACAATTTCATACAACTCCAAAAAGTGGTACTACTTAATAATTTTATCTCCTGTGTTCTCAACATCTGTTCTGATATCAGTGTGATCACATTGTAACATTTTAGTGTTTGGCTGGATTTTGACATTATTTGACCTTATCCATAATAATGCCACCACAAACAAAGAAATTAAGTATATCACAGATGGAAGTAGTTTTGCATAATCATTTATTTAATACGCACAACAAATATTTTGAATTTAAATAAAATAATACTTCAATAGTAGCCTAAAGATGAGTGGAGTACAAAATGTTGCCCTCCTTGTTTGTAGATTGTGAGGCCTAGGTTTGTGGTCTATCCTTTATCTCACATAATATATAAATCTTTAATACTTTTATACTGTGTTACAGTGAAGGTATGCAAAATGACAAAAATATTCACACACAAATTCTATTCATCTCTTTTATAATGTGAGTGAGCTGAAAGCAAAGTAAAAATCATTTTTAAACCTACAAAAATAATTATAAATGATATGTACAAGTGCATATCTTAAGCTCTCATAATCAGTCTTTTTATGTAATTACAATAAGTAATTTATCATTTTTACATTTAATAACAAAATGTGATTAAAAGTACTGAGAAGAATACCTTTTATTTGCAAACTAAACCAATATGAATGGATAGCTGATAAGTTATGAACAGTTTTAACATTGTTAAAAAATAAATAGATTACAACTAATTATTTACATTAAAAGTACAAAAGCAGTCTCAGTCTTGTGGAAGCCCTCTCTTTACACTCTCATAGTTCTGATGAATACTGTGAATAGTTCAACACCACTCTTCATGAAATTCATTTTCATCATCTCATCTTACTGATTGTTTTGAACCCATCCAAATGGTTGTGAATTGCTTGGTAAGGTGACTGAACGAAGTGCTATTGATTCATCTTCTTGACTACTTTGATGACAACAGCACCCGTACCTTGAACTTATTCTTCGAACTCCTGGCCATAGCTTGTGTACGATTCTGTCTTTCACGCGGTCTTCCAAGACAAAAATGAGGAATGTGATCAATCCTTGCAATATGTAAAAGGCGTGCAGCATGACCCACACAAATTGTTTGCCACCTAAGGCCCAGGAAATCAGGTCGATAATCCAGTTGGACGACATCAGAACGAACAACAGGAAGCACATTCGAGCCCTACGGAAGCAAGAAATAGCACATCTTTAAATGAGAAATGTATATAAATCAAGAAGTTGATGTTAAGCTACTGTAAATTGAATATTTGAATAACATATTATTGACTACTTTTCATTATTTTGATATACACGTTGCAAATACTGAAAATTTTGATGTCTGTAATACGTGATGGTCAACTAAAGCAGTTATAAATTTTGCTTCTCTGAATATAATTTTAGTTTTGTAAATAAGACATGATTTTCAGTACACACAGTTATTTTTGTGCCTTACGCATTACGTATGAAGATTATTTCAACGAAATAGTAAAACTCTGTTTAACTACATGAAAGCTGTTTTGTTGTTTTGAAAAATAAAACGCAATATTATAGAAAGCACAAAACATAAGAATATCCTTTCAAATATATTGTAGTTGCAGAATATTTGTTTTTATTAAATTAATAAAAAAATGAATGTTAAATAAGTTATGAGTTATAATTGACTGAATTTGTTTAAATGGAGATATGGAAGAAAAGTGACATGTTGTATTGTAAACCAAATATAATTATCATGTACACAATTTGTAATATAAAATATAAATTAATGTTATTTACAAATAATTTAGAATTGTTACGTAGTTCATCAGAATGTAACAAAAGTACATACTTTTGCTTAGGAACTCGTTGTGGTCCAGAGAGATTCCAATTGAAAGGTACTGCTTTAATGAGAATGCAGATGAAAATCAATACATTCAATATAATGACCATGGCAGTAAACGGATAGAAGTACAGGAACGACTCTTTTGTAATGTCCTCTGTAACATAATATCAGGAGATTAATCATTCATTCATAACAGGTTAAACTAATCATATAAATCATTGATAAAACCTACCATGTAGTTCACAGTGTTCTTTCATATTTTGATCCAGATATGTTGCAGGAATTGTTGGACTAAGACCACGTGATACAACTACTAGGACTGGTAAGATAGTCAGAATCCAAACGTACAAAGAATAGCCTACAAAAACACGTCTTTCAACCGTTTTATCTCTGCGTTTGCGTTCTTCTTCCGCTGCATCATCAATTTCATTCATATTCAGTCCTGCCACCCATTGTCTTTTCCTTTCATCCCAAAACCATTTCTTTGCTCTGGGATACGGAACAGGACTGCATCCAGTTGCCTCCCTAGAACAGTCAAAATGACAGGTTTAATTTTCTGCAGTAATTGAGGAAAAGATATAAATATATATTTTCTTCATACTCACAAGACTCCCCAGAAAGCATCGAGACACATCACGTGCAACCACAAGAAACTGGCCAGCAGGAAGAATTGAATAGCAAAAGCTGAAACATTAAAATTGCATATAAATAATAAATGTTAAAGTAATAATTACATTAAAAATAAATAGCACTAACACAATACTTAAAGCATAATTTAATTATATTAACAAGGAAAGCCATTTGTAGTAATAATGAATGAAAGTCAGGCAGAAAATCGTTATATTGCTTCCACACTTGCCTTCGATTTTTCCTTTCTCCTCTCTCCAACTCTCCGTGAATCTAACGCAACCCTGACCATAGTATTATTTTGATATAGTGTCTATCTGAATATTTTAAACATTAAGTTATTATTTGGTTTTCATCGCTTTTAGAGCAGAATGTACTCATGGAGAAATTATTTTTCAAGAATAATCATCATGCCGTATAGTAATATAAAATGAAGATTTGAATTTCTTTTGCCAATAAAAGCGAAAACTAAACATCTGGTAACAAATGGAGCAATCTTATCATTCACGGAGTTTTGGAAGACGTAGCAAGTATAATTCCAAATGAAGAAAGTTTTCTAAATTATTTAATAAATAATAAAAAAAATCCCAACGAACGAAACGGTTCAGCGCGTATCACGCTGGATTCCCAATCGGAAAGTCCGGATTCGATTCCCAGGCCGGCCATCGTGACCAGAGTTTTAGAGGTTTCCCTCTCCCACAAGCGAATGCTGGGATGGTTCCAAAATCCCACAAACTCCTACCACCTCCCACTACACTTCTAGCATCATCCCTAGTCCTTTCACCCCACATTATTACCCTATAATAATAATAATAATAATAATAATAATAATAATAATAATAATAATAATAATAATAATAACAACAACACCCTATCCCCTCTGACATTCAGGGCTAACAATCTTGTCTTAACCAAGGGATGCAGCTGAAAGGCTGATCACATAATTCAATCAGATTCACTGATGAAACTTCACTGATCTCACTATTTTTCTTTTGCAACATTCCTGCTGTGAAAGTTAAGACTTCAGCGCCAGCAACAGCGTTGGTGTAAAATGTACGAGTATACTTTGCGCATGCTCTGGTGGGTTTCACAAGCGATGGAAGAATTTTAAGAGCGCAATTGAAATTCTTGCGAGGAACAGACTGCTCTGTCGGATGCACTTTAAGTGGCAGCAGTGGGCGGAGCAATCTGTAGAATTCTAGAAACGGATTACAACTTGTGTGCGATATCACGCTTCGCTAACGCGACCAAAACGCTAACGCGACATGGATAAAAAATACACGATATGAAACTACAGCCATTGAAATCAGGCGATAAAGACATATTCTTTCGGAATATTTATATAAACATTTTGTAAATTCAATTTTTTAGTGACTCGAATTATTCTTTCAGATTTTTTTTTCAATTTCTCAAACTGTGTCGAATGGACTACAAAATAATAAGTATGCAGAGTATTGACAAGTTCTTAAAATGTTACAGATCTAGAAACGTTTTAAAACGTTCAAAGAGAGCATTCTAAGCTGTGTAAACAGAACGTTCTAAGACATATTTCTAATTACTTCAAATTTATATTCAGTTGCAGGGTTAGAAAGCGGGCGAGGACACTGAATATTAAGGTGAAACTAATGTTCAAACACTAATTATTGGAGCCATCATAAAACAATGACATTCGTGCTTAACGGCATCTCTTTGCTGGCAAATTGCATGTTTCTGCTTCACTGTCTCCATGCGTCAAAGGCAGATCGGTTAACCATTGTATAGTCACGACCATTGAAGAATAAAGAATTAAAATCGGTTCACGGGATTGGTCAATGTGGTTAGAGAAACAATTAGTTACGCCAACGTTACGAAATATATAATTTGTTAATCAGGGCTTACTAGTAATCATAAAGGTAAAGTCGCATTTCAAGCCACCATACGCAACTCCATATGAAGTTGCTGAAGGACGAGGGTCCATCGCGAGACAATTGTGATTTGGGCCAAGGCGGTGGCAAGGTAAGTGATAGCGTAAATGCTAGCAGATCGGTTAGGGAAAAATAGAAAAAAAATATTTCAGTTCCCCTTTAAGTGTCACTTCACACTGCACACGTTACTTCGGCCGAGGGAAACGCGTGTTCTGGGGAAGCACGCGCCGGATGCGGACGCCTCACCCATCCTCGGCCGCTCACGCGGCGCTCAACATCCGAGTGGATCGCTGCAATCGGGGCGAGGTCGTCAGCACCTGCGAGCAGGCGCTAGGGATCCTCCGCAAAAGCCGTTTGGAAGAAATCTACATTGTTTCGCTTGAAGAAGAGAAACATGTTTAGATAGTATTTAGGATTAATTTGCATCAAGCGTAATTCCTAAATTAAGTAAACGGATTGAAATCGGCTGAAATAACTCAGGGTAACAACCGTTGTCATTGCAGTGACCCCGATCGAGCCCCAACGGTGGTAGATTTTCGACACTAGCTAGAAAGCTAGGTCGAATTTAGTCGCTGCCCGAAGGAGGATTCTAGGAGCCGGCTGATCGCTGACTTCCGTGGTTTCTCCCATCAACAGCATGAGAATGCCCGACCAGCAGCCTAATAACCAGGCCAAAGCGCGCGATATTTCGTTCTTCTTTCTTGTTCTATCCTCTGCCCTTGCTCACACCCACTCACTCTTGCATGCGCTGCACAACCACTCATCAAGGCCGGTCGAGAGCTTAGAGCTTGTCCCGGCTAGGGCGGTGCCCCGCTAGCGGAGATTCCTGGAGGAGGACATCTCCGCAAGCCTAAGTGTAGATAGGCGTCGGACCTCAACCCAACATCATGGGATGTAATATTCTCAAAACTTACGAGACAAATCACCTAGCAGTGGGTGTTCCTGGAACCAATCAATCCGTAACCTCAATAGTTGCTCTCTAAACAGTTATAATTTTCGAGACGGGCCACACTCCATATAGGTGACAACAAAAAAATAAATGCGAATGTGGCAGCCCAAAGGCTGCCTTACCGAAGAGGAGGAAGGTGAGGTTCCGACACTAGCTGACAAGCTAATGTCGAAAGTCTTGCCACTGTCAGGACCCGAACCTAGGTCCTCCCGGTCAGAGACACTGCAGTGACATCGTTTGATGCATTGACACCTCTCCCAGTCATACCATGCCTTTAGCAGATATTATATGTCTTAAGAGTGTTATGAATAAAGTAGAAAAGCAATCAACCAAAAAAATTTCCTCGATTGTTTCGGACATTTATCAGCAACGGGTGGAAACTTATGACACTTACGTTGTGGTCATATTAAAGCTCCTATCACTAAACAACGCCACGAAGTGTTTAAGTGAGGTCAATTTCGTTAACGACGAGACTGGCCTTCTAGTCAGTTCTATTGAAATGAACATGCTTCTATGTGGTTCATCTTCTGAGTACTCTTTGTGGATGTTACAACTGCATGAGAAGCAAGTCTAGTAATTGAGTATGTACAGTTATTCAAAGAATACTTCTTGGCTGATTGTATCGACAATAATGCAATTGAGACCAATGATGTTTGACGACTTTGCAAATTAAGAAACAATGAAATTATTTTTAATTAACCGTTGAAGTTAATTTTTTTATGAGTTACATCAATCACTACAAAAGTATATTGTCATACAAACTGTCATTTGATTTTCTCTACGATATGTTTATTTTGTAATTTATGCTCGTATATTCTAATAATCTTGCTATAATTAAATTATTTAGTTAATAAAGTGTTTGTTTCCAGAACATTGTCACAACTTTGGGTGTTATCGTGATTTCAAGGAGATGTAGTCTTCGTAATTGCTTTCATCATGGACTATAATATTTCCATCACCTCGTAGTGAATTTTATTAGAATATTATTAATCGTTTCAATGTGGATACAAGAGCTCCTTTCGAAATCTAGTATAATCCTGCATGTTGACTATAAAATTACACTTTATTGCCATACCTGTCCCTCAACTACTCCAGAGGTACTGTAACTAAACGGTCTTTAATTTCAATATGAAATAGATATAATATTGTTAGATAGTATATTAACGTCTTGAAAGCCAATGAAACCTTAAAAACAATTGAAATGAGAGATAAAATATCACTGAAGGCGTGACACGATATTCCAGGGTGGGACTCAAGTTATTTCTGAAGTATTTTGTGAAAGTGAGCAAAGGAGGGAATATCACACTGAAACAATGTCTAGTATTTGTTTACAAATTCTCTAAATTCAATCAATTCAATTCAATAATTTTAATAGGGAAACCATGAAACTGATTACGGTAACCATGAATCAATTCAGACGCGTCTACGAAACATGCTCGATAGAAACCAGAGAAAAGGCGTGGTCGTAGTGAGTAAGTGACCAATACCCTCCAGAAAATAAGCATCAGCGTGTATTGTGTCGACGCAAACCTTAAAAGCCCCCATATGCGTGGCTGAGAATTCGTGCGAGTGTTGTTCGTTAAAGAAACAAACAGTCGCAGGATCACAAGGACATTTTACGCAGCAGCTGCGGGTGTTCAAATACGAACAGATCAGACACTCTACAGAAGACGTCGAGAGGCGAAAATTGCGGAGTTATCTTTTTACTTCTCTTCATCTCTTATTTTGTCCTGAGCTTCTTTTTGTGGGAGCACAGAATAAACAGAGACATGTGGACATTTTCTCAGCGTTTTTGGTCCAGGACCATTTAACACATGTTTTCTATTCATTCGTAATACAAACAACCTTGGTTAATCAATTTTTTGGGTTGTTTGTTATTGAATACATTTTTGCTAACTACTGATATCTGGCATTCATGTTTTTCTTATTTATTTACTTTCTCAGTGTATTAAGAGCTGTTCCTATTTCGAGCAGTTAAATTGGCCACAGCGTCCATATGTACAACTTTTCAAGTATGTTTCGAACATTAATATTTTAAAATAAGATGTTTTCATATTTGACAAAAGTTTATAATAGTCTTTCAATAACTTGTTGAATATTTATTTATTGCAGGGCCAGTATTTACTATGACAGCTCCCAGTTCACTACGTACGAAGTTCGTATTATAATTTCCTTTAGTATTATGTTACGATATTGTCGACTATTTTTAAGCAATACAAACGCACACTAAAAGTAAACTAAGCTAAGTAAACAAACTTCTAATTATTGTATGTTGTGAATAAATTGGATTTCGCGCTATAAACTAGCTTTCTTTTGATAACATTTTAACAAGAGGGGAAAATATCACTGTGCCACTTATAAATTCATGTTCATAAATGCCCAAAAATGAAAAAAGGGCCAATTCCTTTCTTTATTCCTCTGTTCTAAATTAAACAACCCTGGTTTTCTGTCTAGTCAACTGTTAACAAGCTAAAACCAACGTGTTACCAGATAGAAAAGAAGTTTTGATATTAGAAGGTACACATCTGTCCTTGTCATTTATGCAATTTGGTCTCGAAGTTCAAATTCAGAAGAAAATTCTAGTTTCTCTCCATGGTGTAAAAAAATAGGACTTTTATTTTTAAATCTGTCTTCTCGGAAATGCATTCACGAATTGTTTTCGTGAAGTTCAAAATCATTTAAAGTTATAAAAATGTAGGTATAAGCAATCCATAGATGTTATTTGGTTTACACTGATATTAATAGACCAAAATACATTTGCTGACCTTCAATAAAAAGTTCTAGAGCTGGTGATCATGACCAAATGATCGAGAGTGACTCATCGAAGCATCAGGATAGGAGTGCCAAAAAAGTCTTCCTTGGGCGATTTTTACCGATGCCTGACATCTGATCCTACTGCTGAAACCCTTGCGTTTTATTTATGTCGATTTTTTTACATCGAGAAGCTACAGACATTTGAAGACGCTGAGAGAGAGAGGGGGAGGGGAGAGAGGGGGGAGAGGAGGAGAGAGAGAGGGAGGGAGAGAGGGAGAGAGAGACGGACAGACAGATGCACAGTAAGAGGCAGAGAGACAGACACACAAAGAGACAGAGAGAGACAGGCAGATAGACAGAGAGGCAGGCGTACTAACAGAGAGACAAGCAGACAGACAGACAGAGAGACAAGCAGAGACAGACGGGAGAACAACGAGAAAGACAGACAGAGAAAGACAGACAGAGAGAGGCAGACAGAGAGAGGCAGACAGATGAGAGGCAGACAGAGAACCAACAGACAGAGAGACACAGACAGAGAGACACAGACAGAGAGACACAGAGAGAGACAGACACAGACAGAGAGACAGGCAGATAGACAGAGAGAGAGAGACAGAAAGACAGACATACAGAGAGAGAGACAGGCAAAGAGAGAGACAGACAAATGGGCAGAAAATAGAGAGAACCAACGAATACTTCCGCTGCGTCCTCCCGCTTCGCTCTCATCATCCGCGGGCGGGCGACATTGCAGTGCTAACGAGACCCCCCGTTCCACCGCTGCGAATCGGGGTCGGCGTCGGAGGAGGGAGATTGCCAGAGTCCCCGGAAGAGCTGGAGGAAAACGGGCCTGGGAATCCACGCGCTGCGCTTCAGCGACTTTTTCCTCACCAGTATCTCTGAAGGGGCAGAAGTTCATTGCATCAGCGCCGTGCATCAAAATTACGCGTGCGTGTCTCAATATTCTCTGACTTTGCCTGCGGAAGGATGGATAACTGAAGTCGTAGATCGACAACGCATCTCCCGACATGCCACCTCGGGTAGCTCGAGGAGTAATTTTAGTGAGTTATTTTTCCGCCATGTAAATAGGGATTACTATCGCAGGAAGAAAGCACATGTAATGGAATCCACTGCTCGCGTCTATTAAAATGATAATCTCTTCGTGTGGTGCAATAGAAGTTAATCGTGTATTTTAAATGTGTCATCTAATAAGATATTGTAAAAAAGGCCAAGTTAATTCTTCAAAACCAAGTCAGTTTTTCTTCACATTTCACCAAAATTATCTTTCTGGGTGTTAATAAATCTGAACAATTTGTAATGCCTCGTATATTCTAACTTGATCTTCTCAAGTTAACCGTTTTATAATAGTTCTTACATACCTCTATTGGTTTGCAACCTACAACTTAAGACAATGAACTAGAATTTTATTTCAGAGTCCTTAGGTTTGCCGCTAAGAGATGTAATTTTTAGAAGTGCGTGGTAGCTTTGTTCAATGCAGGGAATCGCCTTCCATGAGCCTCGCGCCCTCTTGGCATTTCACGACCCATTGTGAATTGCTAAAGAGCATGTGGAGACTCCCCAGCAACAGTTTCGGCCAACTCGCGATTAGAATGAAGACATCTCTCTTGACGTAATCAACGAAAACTGGTGGTGTTGGTGGTAGTGGTAATAGCACTAGAGATGACAGCAGCAGTCAGGGTGATGGCTAGACCACGAGTGGTGCAGGATTGTTTGTAGAACTCCTTTTCCTTTGACTCTCAAAAATCGTTAATATTTTTTTGTTTTATTGCAACAGAATATGTTTGTGTTCAATATACATTGTCTACTTACATTTAGGTCTTCTCTCTAATTATCTATAATTATTAAATTGAAACCTACATAACTGTAATATTTCTCGGAAAATTCTTCATACAACAGATTGAAATTGATACAGCATTAGAAGTCTAATCCTCATTATATCCAAAACACACTTCATGAATAAATTGCGATTTTTTTTGTGTTTACATGACCAATGAATGTTTAACTAAGCCTACTTACATACACCTGGCTGTATTTTATAAAAATATTAATTTCCATCGCAACAATTTTCGAGAGCCAGGACAATTTTCAGGAGCCCTTGTCTGAAAGTAGAAACCGGGGGCAAAGGCCGCTTCTCCTAGGTTGTCCTTCAGTTGCCAGCAAAAATCAGATAAGAAAACGGGTTCTTGTAGAGCTCTCTTGCGAACAATCACTACTTCCACGTTCAACGTCTACTGCACACAGCCTTTGAAATTACTGCACCTAGTCTTTCACGCCACCTAACTCTTGGCTGGGTGCATCGTGATTGGATGATGGTTGACCTGTTCTTAGCGAATCAGCGCACGCAGTTAGTATTTTCCGCCTCAACTTAGCATTCCCGAACATGAATCAACTTACGGAGTATTTTCCTGAAGGTTTTCATGTTTCCACTGTTTTTGTTTGTCCATTCTGAACATGTCACTCGTGGCATCGTATCAAAAATGTCTTTATGCCTGTATTTTTCGAAGTGACTCACGCGTCATCAAGGAGAGAACACACATTGGAAAAAGAATAAAATGTGAACGTAATAGCGTTTAACAGGTACTGATGTAAAATTAATCTCATTTTGATATTTTAATGCTGTGAGAATAAAGTGCTTAATAATCATTCTAAGTAACGTGAATTTGTAAGGAAAATTAGCATGGAGGTTGTGTGTTTCATTATAGACTTATTTAAACTAAATTCACAGAATGTTTCAAAACATCGTTGTTTTTTAATTAAAAATGTAGGACTCTTTTTCGGATTTTCTTTATTTTCAGTCGGGAAATGTTAACTTCCTGAAATGTTTCCCTTTAGATTTCTCTTCTCTTGGCTGGATGTCTCCTTACAACTCAGTTTCGACGATTATTTAGAGTTGATTCCTGTGGTTTCTCCATTTTCACGTCGCATATTCTAGAAAGATTAAAAATTCCCGAGCGCTTGCATCCAACAAATACAGAGCGAAGAACGCAACACCAGAGGACGCCCCGGCGCGGCGTCGCAGTTCTCTTCAGCCGAAACATTTATCGCGCCTCGTCGCAGCCACATCCGCGCGGGCGGACTGCGGGCGGGCGGGCGGCCTTCGCGGAGGCCCCGTGCCCCCTCCCGCTTCGCATCACGTGGTGCTCCGGCGCCGTAGCGCGTTCCGCCGCTGTCGGAGTCCCCATCAAAACATTCGCGGCCCCACCACCAGGGCCGGCCGGTCGGCCGCCCGCGTTCTGTGTGACGATTAATGTGAACCTCCCCAAATAACGCGCAAGTAATGTAAACAATGTTAATAATAATAACAATAAGTCAGCCCCGTGGCGCAGACGGTTGCAGGAGCCGTCGTCTGCGCCGAGGAGGCTGCAGGTTCGAGTCCTGCGTAGACATGGTCGTATTTGTGATTATCCCTTCACCACTCATTATCATCCTTATCATCTCATGATTCACTCTTCAAGGTGTAACAACCTCGTCGTACTGAGGGATACAGTTGAAGAGTTGATACTGGAAAAATTACACACGTTAATCGGGTGGCGTGGTCAGTAATGGCTTATTCGCCAATAATAATAATAATAATAATAATAATAATAATAATAATAATAATAATAATAATAATAATTTCAAATATTAAATACCGACTGCATAACTCGTATGGTCATAACACTTCCGTTGAATGGGTTGCGAGTTCGAGCTGCTGGCAACGGTGTTTGTGTGTATAAGTAAATTCAGTATACGAGTATTTAGGTGAGCGTACTCTCGCGCGTTCGCATGTGTGTAGATATATATGTGTTTTCTGGAACTTAACCATCTCTGAATAACGGACGGAACGCGTTTGACATTGAAATCACACTCAACCATTACATACGATACATAATTCTAGGCCAGTGTCAGCTATAAATGTAGCTTATGTCTACCATTAAAAAACTTGTAGGAAAGCAAAATTAAATCCATGAACCTTCCGGTTATAATTGTCAATTCACATACGTGTGCTTGTATCATCGTATCTTTATATTTCATTCCCATATTTGGAGTCCATCATTGCGTAACTTACATTCTGTGATTTGCCAAGATTTTTTTCTTCTTTCTGGACGAGATCCCCGGTAAGTACATACCCATCTATCCATGCCTTAATCCAGCCTCGGTTGCTACGGATGTCTGATGCAATGCGTCACCGGAAATGCCTTCGTGACAGAGTCGCATGTGGTCCCACCCCCACTTCTGTTCTCACTGGCAGACAGCGAAACTCCGAGCTTCCTTGTCGTTCTGACGGCAGAGTCTAGGTTCAGACTACTGCCATATCAGGTTTTACTGCATCTGACTTTCAGTCGCCACCTTTGTCGGTTCACAGGCTCCGGCTAAGCTATCTGATTTAATTTCCTCGACGGAGATGATTTCAGAACGGAGTCGCATCTTAACCTCTCGCACTCCTCCCACCCTCTGCAACAAAGGCTCGGGGCTCCCTTTACGCAACCACAGTGGTCTTAAACGGCTTCTTGAGACTTAATTGTCATTCGGCTACACACAAGGAAGGGAGTCTTCAAATACTCTATGAGAAAAGTTGGCTCGAGAAAATTTAGAAAACTTTTTTAAAGGAGAAAAAAACATATGATAATATACACCGATGAGAATTTTATAATTAGTAAAAAAGAAGCTGAATATTTACATTAAGTAACTTAATCTACACAGAAGGAGTACCTTTGTAGAAGAAAAGAAGTTATGTGCAGGCCATACTAGATAGAAAATGCGAAAATTAACGCATCATGCTGCAAAAGTAATTTCAATTCGTGATGACGTTTACATCCCAGTTGGATCCGCGCTATTCTGAATTGCAGTGTTAAACGGGGGTTCAAAATTGACCGTGCTCGACTATGCTTTTTTGACCCCAAAGTTCTACAATAATTATCTTTGTTCCTAAGCAAATAAAATGAACATAACTCTTTTACCCTCTCTGATCACCTTTTTCTTCATTGTGGAATTGACGTTCATTTAAATGCCATTATGTGGGTGCGAATGACTGGGTAATTCTGTGATATTATTGCCAACTTTCCTTCACCACAAGGACGGGTAAAAACATATGGACAATGGATGGCGTACATGTGAACAATCATGGCTCTAAAGGA